ACCATTGAAAATATGATTCTTAGCTATTTTTTTTTTTTATTATCAATTTATGCCTTATGATTCTATAGGGTATTTTTGATTTCATACAAGTGAACGGGTAAATCTAACGAGTCGATGCGTCTAATTGTTACATCTATTACTTTTTTTCTTTCCCTCAAAAAAATAATTTTAATAAAGAAATAAAAATAAGCGTACAATACTTTAGTACTTAACACTATACAAAATTGAAAATAGTTCAAATAGCCGATTGAAGAACATAGATTGTTATCGAATAGAAATAATATTAATTGTAAATAAATTATTGTTATTATTACCCTGTCACAGTTCACATAATTTCAATTACTATTCTATATCAAAACGATTATTAGCTTAACATAGACAAGAATGTGTAAATAAAACAATAAAATAATTTTTGAATAAAACCTGAAATTAAATTATAATAAAAAAATAAACCACCAGTTTGCCATCATTTGATATCTTTTATCTATAGTTAAAAAAAAACAACATAAAGGTAAGCATAAGATATTCTGGCTTTATCTAGATAAATGATAAAATATAATTACCACATCATCTAAATTAACTTTTAGATAATGTTATCTAATTAGTCCTAACACTGGTTGCAGTTGTCGTCGTGAAACTTATGCGAAAACCTTTTCGGTATTCTGTCGGTGACGGGGAGGGTATGTGGATTCAGTAGATCGTTATGTATTTAACGAAAGTAAGTACATCGGGAAATCGGTATTTGCTAGAAAATCGATTTTAATTGACACTAACAGTAACATATTATTTTTTTTAGATTTTCTGCGCGTCTCATATTAAAATATCAATCGCTTACTTAATATTTTACTCGTATATCTCTCATTTCGATATGTGATTTAAAACACAGACATACACACATACACACACACACAAACATTGAATCAATAATTTCCATTAACGGTGCAAACGTCTTACACGATCGTACACGTCGTGGTGTAATCAATGAGCACGTCTTAGGTTTACTCATGTGTTGACCGTGCACTTCTAGCCTCTCCTACGGCTATGGCGAGACCGAGCTAATTGAATTTAACCAAAACGTACTCTCTCATTCGTGCGAATGAGTGCCTGAGCCGAGGAAAAAAAAATGAGAGTCCAACAGATAAAGAGAGAGATGGATATTCTACAAAACCGTAATAATGAAAATTAATAACAACGTTATATTGTAGCACATCATCCGGTTTATACGAATGAAGTACATCATATTATGATGGGTAGGAAGTGTAATATATAATCTAACCGTACGTCAGAAAAACATTTTGTTGTGTGTAACACGTTGTACCAAGTACTTGCGCGAAATAATTTTCAAACTTAAACGTCGACGGTGTAACCATACACATATATACCAGTCGGCCGTCTTGTTACATATTTTTTTCGTATTACATGCCGTGTTCCGGCCGGTATATTATATTAGTACATTAGACGTAATGCTTGTATTATCTTCACGAATATCGTTCTAGTGCGCACTGTCACGGAATATTGCCCGACAACTTTGGACAGGAAGGATCGTTTTATATTAACAGCGCACGTATTATATTCAAAGACATTTTCACTTAACGACATGAATTTAATAAAACTTTCGAAAGCTCAAAATTCATTTTAACTACACTCTTGGTCGCCCATTGGATTAGAACGCTGCGAGTTAAAATATTCCTCCTATCGATGACTATTTACACTTGGAATTTTGAAATATTATTTAATCCATAAATATTCAACAAGACTGTATTGGAATTCGTATTTTTTTTATTATTCTTATAAGTCTATTCTCGAAACATCGTACGAATAAATGGTTTTTAAAATTATTAAAAAATATTATTAACGCAGCATTTAAAAATAAAAAATTTAAAAATATGCCAGTTATACATATTTAGTGTTGAATATTATAATATTATTAAATATTATAATTACTACACAATATATTCACCCGAATGACTAATCAGTGCGGCGAATAAAATGAAATGGCGAACGATGTTTTCGTAATCCGAAAAATCTCATTATTACTCAATGTGTGTATTTTTTAACGTTAATTTCCAAGCCATTGATTACTTCGCAAAACGATAAAATGAACGTATAAAGAAATTTAAGGTTAATAAAATGTTTTTATTAAAGAGTACACTCTTTATCAAATCAGAACGTTACCAAGCAACGACGACGAACCGTTTAACGCATCGTTATAAATAATAATACATAATAATATGTGTATGTTTAAGATGCTCTTTCACACTTAAGCCAATCACATCATGTAACTGATAAATCAATTATTTTCATACCAACACTTGTCTATTTTTTTTTAGAAAATACTAGCCTAACTAAATGTAAAACTCTACATTACTTGTTCACTTGTGCTTCTGTTTGCTCCATAAGAAAAACCATGTAGGTGGTATAGTTTCTACATTTTTCCTGACGATTTTGGACTGTAGTCTACCTGATTATACTTGAAATTGGTGTGAAAATGTGGTGAGGAATAATGCGATTTTTGAATGTAAGCAAGTTTATTTTGTGCCGCCGGCGAAAGTATTTAATTCAAATGTATGAATCAAACGATGCATGAAATCTTTACCACATATTAACAAAAAAGAAAAAAACCTTTAGTGCATAAAAAAACTTTTTGCCCTTTAGCAATCGTACGATTTTACTCTAAAATACCCCTAAAATCTACTGCCAACAACTATACCACGTGATTGTTTTGTTCAAGTGTTTACTTTATAGTTCAATAATATGTTTAATTGAAAAACTTTAAATAAAAATAAATGTGAGACTGAATTGCAAAAGAAATTGTATTGTTTATGGCGGATATACGTCAATTGATCGTAAACAAATCTACTGCAAAATATTCAATACTATCAATGTTATAATTGGTACATATTTTTTTTATTTTAGCTGCTCTATCTCGGTAAATTTTTTTTAAGAGACTCGTTGCCCCCTATATATTATTCGATTTTGAATCTGTTAATGTTCGCTTCTGCGATTAATTATCGTGCGGTAAATTGTAATTGCGATAAATTGACTTGTGAGCAATTGTTTGCGGTCAATTGTCTCCTAGTCAATTCCTTACGATGAATTGATGGTACACAATTTATGGTGGCTGTATTTTAAAGCTAGTCGCAAGTCAAAGATTTAGAAATCAGAATGGATAGCATATATTTTTCCACCAGTAATATCATTAAAACTAACCGAAAACAGTGGTAATGTTCTCGATATCTGTTCATTACCCGTGTAAACTAAAACATATACCTACCGCTTAAAAAGGGGTTCGTGAAATTGTATCGTTATATCGACGATGACTTAGTTGTAACGTTATTATCAACACGGTTAATAAAATTTTTTAAAAGCAATTCGATCTCATATCGGTCTTCCATGAAATTTGAAAACGCTTGAATCGAGTCGACATTTTTGACGTTCATGTATTTTGTCTCATGAAATACAATATCCTGTGAATATGTGCAACCTTAGATAATAATGTGGATAATCAAATTATTTCTTTCATATCTGACTCGCATGGACAATGACTAAAAATGTTCATATTTTTATTACATTTTTATGTTTTGCTAAGCAATTTAAAAAAAAAAACTTTTGGCATAACTTGAAGATCGGAGCCATTTTAACAACTTAATTTTTTTGAATATGTTGATGTTTCAACCACCTTCTTTTTTGATATTTTACTAAGCTACGAGTGCTTGAATATAGTAACAAATTAATACACTATTATTAAAACTAAAAAATAAAATATATCTACAAAAGTTAAATTTTAATTGTTGTATATTGTACGGATATATTGTAGCGTTTTTATCAATTGACAGTATTCAATAATAAAAAGCACATTAACAAAAAAAAAATCTTACATTATCCTTAAAATCTAAAACATTTACTAAAACTACTAATTGGAATCAATATTATTATTAATTGTGCTTAATAGACGATATAATTATTGTAATTTATAAACTTAAAAAAAAAGAACAATAATAAAATCCATTTGTCATCATTTTTTTTACGTTTGTTTGATGCTCTTATTCCCTAACTCGTATACATTTTTTTAAATTAAATAAATTAAAAAAGTTATTGTATACTTTATTATAAACATACACCTGTAATCATATTTTTTTTATTTTTTTAATGGTCAGTTAGTACGTATTAATATATGGGATGTGACTTAATGGCCGAAGTCGAAAAAAATAATATATTTATTTATATAATAATAGAGCATCGATATCATTAAATTTTTTTATACCTGATGATGAATTTTTATTTCAAAATCGGTCGTACATTACATATATAATAATACTTCAGACTATGCATTGATTAATTAATTTCTATATATAAACTATACATATATGTGTATATTTTTGTATTACAAATTACAACTTACAACACACGAGAATAAAAACAATTATAAATTGACTTTAATTTTTTCCGAAGCGACTAACAAGATATTACTACCGACCGAAATTAACCGTTTTATAACTAAGATAAAGGTTTTTCATATTTTATTTTTGAAACATAGTTTCCGGTTAAGGTTCTCGAAACCAGTTGATTTTGGTTCCAGTTCTGATCACCTGTTAACTGTAAAAAAAAAAATGTTTAAGAAAACACGAAATAATTCATTTTATGTAAATTTCAGGGGCGAAAGCAGAAAAAAAAATTCGGGGGAATTTTTGAAAAAATTAAAAATATTCATAAATAATTGTATTGTATACTTCAATTTACGAACCACGGGAAACATTTAAGCAACTAATAATTTTTTTTTTTAATTTATTAGTAATACATTTGTAGGTCAGATAATACATTTTTTGTTCCTGATATTTCGGGGAGGTGGTTACCCCAAACCCCCCCCCCCAGCGTTCGCCGCCGGTACATTTATGTATACATATATAATTGACTTGATTTGATTTTTTTTTTTTTTTTTTTTTTTTGATTTTCATAATTCGATTTCACCGAAACCGCGCGTGTGCTTGTTGTGCCCGCAGGTACGTGATCACGACGCTGTGCGGCGAGCCGTGCAACATATCGCCGTCCGTGGTGGCCGTGTTCTTCTGGATCGGTTACTTCAACTCGACGCTCAACCCGTTGATCTACGCGTACTTCAACCGGGACTTCCGGGAGGCGTTCAAGAACACGCTGCAGTGCGCGTTCTGCAACCTGTGCCGGAGCCCGCCGTCCGACCTGGAGGCGCTGGACGCGCGGCGGCCGTCGCTCCGGTACGACGACCGCACGCGCAGCGTCTACTCGGAGACGTACCTGAACCACTGCGACCGGCGACGTTCCAGCCAGTTCGGCAGCAGCTTATGATCCGCCGCGCCACCACCCGGACCCAGGCCCTAGGCCCGACTAGCGCCCCCATCCCCCGCCGCCGCCTCCCCAGTGCCATCGACCGTTCGCCCGACTCGCGTTTGCTTTCGAACCTGTCGTCACGTCCGTCGGTCGGTGCACGTGCGCGTTTCCTCCCGAAGAATCGTCTTCGCACGTTTTCGCGCGACCGGTTTTCGAGATTTTCATTTCGATTCTGTCGGCGAACGAACGCGTTCGCAGTAGGGCCCATTAGAAACGATCCGTGTCGTACCCGACGGCGGGCGGGTACTACCGGTACTGGCCCCGTTACGAGGGTTGAACTGTCTCGGCGCTGACGCGTCCGCCCGTTCTTTGCAGTTGCCCGCAAGGGACGACAGTTGCGCTCGAGCCGTTCAACGTACGCGTGGTCGACCCACTCATCTCTGCTTGCATACCCTTACACCGCTGAACTGTTCACGCGTCTTCGATGGGCGTTACTACAGCCCAAATATCGGGAGTGCAGAACTCGCTGAAAACAAAATTAAACAGTATTTAACCGTGTAATCGCTATGGATCATATAGATCTAAAAACAGGAGTGCTACATTTTAAGGGTGCTGAAAACCCTATTGCACCCCCCTAGTTGCGCCTATGTTCGAACCCCGTCCCGGTGAGTGTTTAATCGAACACACACACACACGTCACGAATATCGCACTTTTGTAAACGAGACCGGACGAAATCTTCGCTATAACCGTACGTGTTTCATACCAACACAGTACAGTTGTACATTGTACAATGTATTCATATGTGAATAATATAGTGTTCTAAATATTTATCCAGTAAACAATATTAAACAATACGAACAACGCACTTGTCGTGTACGTTGTTAATAATCGATTTTTAACGGTACATAATTTCAACACAACTTCTCATAATACACCCAAACGTATACTCTCGTACCTGTTAAATAACAATTTTCACTAATACTACAGTTTTGCTAACTTTTTTACTTAATTAGATCTCGTATCTCGTTCCGACCAAGGCATCTACATGAAAGATAATACCGTATTATTTTCGAAATTGAGCGTTTCTAAATCCATGTCCATTACATTAACACAGTTAATACAGTTTAAAAATAAAATATATTTTCTCTTCGTCTCCGACTAAAAATAATAACTCGCGAATTAAAAAGGCACAGGTCAAAATAAATTCAAAACCATGAATATCAATACAATTCTCATGTTTTTTATTTATTGCTTTTATACAATTTTTTCCTATGTTATTTGATAATCAGTAAGTACGAGTATTTTATAACACAACATATTTTTCATAGCTCGATTCCAATCGAGTACTTATATTTTATGAATTATTGTTGTTTTTGTACTTACCATCGAACCGTTTTTCTATACTTCAAACAATATTATGTTGACATATTATTTATCGTTGTGTGGTATAATATATCTCGCGAAAAAGACGTAAAGATATTTTACTTTTGATTCGCTATTTGAATCTCACAAGAACGTTCATTTTATAATCATAAACGCTCCCCTATTTTAAATAATAACATATTTCCGTTTATTCGGCTATTATAGTCGACGGTTATACTTAGTTGAAAATATTCACATTACCCAGAATATTCAATATTTTATAAACAAAAAACGTTCTTCTAGCCACAGATTTATCTTGTTGTGCATTATCAATTTATATGACGACCATAGTATTGTTTCACTTATGTTATCTACTTCACGTAACAAGGCATAGTTTAAATAATATTTATTTAGTATGGTTTATACGGTGTGTCGGGTGGTCAATTTACAGTTTGTTTACACAAATTAATGTGAACGGGGAAAAAAATATAGGTCGAAGGGGTCCCGGCGGTAAGTTTAAATAAAATAATTAATCAATTATTTTATTGTTTTTTAAAGGTGTATATGTTCGTAATAGTAGCAAAAAATAAAACATTAATTTTTTTGAAGTAATTTTGTAAAAAAAAAATGTATTGTAAAATGTTTCATAAAAGAAAATAATATCAGCAAACTTCAATGAAAGTAAATTAATAAAAATGTATTGTAAAAATAATTTATAATACTTAGATAATAAATTGATTTTGAAAAAAGAAAAAAGCAATATTGTTACACGCGATCGTTATCTATAATATACAGTAGATATCTGAATGCAGACCAGCAAGTAGATCATTTTTCGAGTATTATAATATGTATGAACATTATAACTGTTAACCTATAACACTGTTGAACTTTTTTTTTTCCTAATTTTGGGATTAGACTAAAAATTTAAATTATTAATGATTGCGTTTGTTTTTGATAATCATATATATTTTTTTTTTTTTTGGTTTTGATATAATTATATATTTGTAAATATGTAACATTACGAATAAGATTATAGTAGCAATATTTCGACGTTATAACTTTTTAAATAATGTAATACAAATTTAATGAAACAATAATGACTATTCGTTTGGCACCATGATTTAATATTAATTATTTATTTATACTTATTTTGGAAAATAATGTAACAACAGGAGGTTAAAGAATGAAAATCAAATTAACTTTTTTCCGGCTGTGCGTAGTTTCCTCTGTAATCTCCGATTCGTTGTTTTAAACCAATATTTCTAAAATAAAATAGATGAATTAATTAATACATAAAGAAAAATAAATCCGATTCGTTATTCTATTTATATATAGATAAAACGTATTATTTCTTATGATTACTTGCACACTTGCTGCAAAGAAAATCGAATACAAAGTCACACTACAACAACCATTTACCTTTAACATTATTATGTAATATATTAACGTTCAATGTACTCTTAACAAAAAAAAATTTGATAACACATAATGTACAAAATTAATATACAATACCAGTAATAACAATCCCTAATTTTTAACGAATACGAGTGTTCCAATATTTCAAGCACTAGACATTTTAATAATATAAATAATTTATTTTTACCTATAATATGAATTTGGACCAAATGTAAGTGCGTGCAATAAATTAAAAATATTAATATATTTATGTTGACTTCGGGCTTACGCAAAAAAAAAAGTATTAATAAGAAATTAAACCTAAAGTATAAATGTATGGAAACGATGCGATTCTGTATAATAAAACGAATCATAATCGCAGATATGAATATTATCATATTAAATGAACGCTTTTAAATGGATTTCACAGATATTCATCGATTTTATTGATCGTATTGTAGCGAAGTTATTAAATACTGTTCCTTCATATATTTATATGAAGAAACTTGATTATATGTACAAAGTCATATTTTAAATGTACTTAGGTATATACTTTATTATTATTATTTCGTTTAATTTGAAATATATGTTTTATTATTATTACTATTATATTATATTATATTATATTATATTAAATTATATTATTATTATAATTAGCAAAAATGTCATGTTACATTATAATAGTACAGCGATTCTTAACCTGTGGTCCACGACCTTTAGGGGCCTGCAATACTCATGTCACGAGTTTGCGGTAGCCCTTACACATAACATACGTTAATACGTGACATGAGTGCATTTTACAATAATGTCGGATTATTATATTTTTTTTTCATATATTTTTTATTAGATAATAGATAGATTTTATCTTTGTACGATGTTCAAAAACTTGTGTCACAAGTATAACACCAAACATCGCATTGAGTTAATAAAAATTAAATATTATGAATACTAAAAAAAAAAAAAAAACGAAAACTAAAATTATTAAATTTAAAAATTTAAATTAACTGAAAAATCAAGTGTAATAAAAATAATTATAAATATGTATGTTTTATTGTGTCCATTAATTTAATTTATAATATAAAATAATTATTATAATTTTGGTTTTAATAACAAGAGTTTTTTTTTAAAAGAAAATGTATTCGAAAAAGAATTGGTAAGAGAGACCGCAATTGTTATTAATCATTCATCAAAGGTCCGTGATCTACAAAAGGTTATTAACCGCTGTAATAGTATATAGTCATAATATTACATACGACTTAATGTTAGATGCAGACACATTTTTGTACCTGAACGTCCTAAAAAAAAAAAAAAAAAATGTAAAAGTAGTATTGAAATTACTATTTATTTATATCTACATTTATAACAATATTATTATATAGTCATATACATGTACAAAATTATATTTAAAGCCTATATTAATTAATATTGTGTGTATACTTTAACTACTATTTATTATTAATTATAGCCCACTTATGACAAATGAACTAGAGTGATTCTAACAAATTTGTTATACTTAAATTTTTGCTTGGAATTTTGAACTATTGTAAATAACAATTAAAAAAAAAAAAAAACTAAAACTACATATTGATCGTATTTCTTTTTATTTTTCTTTTCTATATCTGAAACACATTTATTTGGCATGGTTTTGTGCTTTACTACGTGCTACATGTCCTGTTTTGTAAATGTTTGAAAGGTTTTCCATAAGATTTAAAAAGGGATGTTTTAAATAACTTTTAGCTATCGAAAAGACAGTTTTTCATATTTCTTTTCGGAACCAAGGAAAACTTTTCTGGAATATTTTAAAAACGCACCCACAAATTTTCTTTAATTTATTTGTGTTAACAGCTTACGTGCATTGAACATACTACTGATTTCATTATTTTATTTGTCGTTCCATCTCGCAGTACGATAATAATTCATCGGAACTTCGAAGTCGAAAAAAATTAAAATAAACAGTAAGTAAAAATAAATCGACGACTAGCGTAAGTATATTTTAAAGAACGATTTGTCAAAGAAAATTTAACAAGCATAACGTTTAGCCCGAGCAATATTATAATAGTACGCACATTACGTTATGCATGCGAATATTATTATTATGTTGACGAGCGTGGTATTCAATGAATCGCGTTCCGATAACCGAAAAATCGAACTCCACATTTCCGATGTCCCTATAGTAATAATAACGCGAATTATATTGATGGATTTAAAAGAAAAAGAAAAAAAACCTTTACGATAATCTGAACGAATAACGCAAGCGGTACAAACGAGTTCCGAGCCAATATGATAATGATATCCTGAGCAGTGTAGAGAAAATGTCATGAAATAAAATGTATTTGTTTTGGTGTACAATGAATCGAGTCCTTAATCCTTTCGTCACATTATTCTCGTAACATACATTTCGATCAACATGATATATATGTAATATGTGCACTATACATTAATGCAGCTTTTAATCCCGGTCGAATATCGTTAGCTTGAATGAATTCGACAGCGGTCGCGTTCTCGAGACGACCAACGTTATAATGTCATTTGAACATATATTATTATATTGACGGGTATAGTATACTATAATAGTAAAAATGATTCATTTGATTTTACTTATAGTACTTGTTTTGTTTCTGTATTATACTATCCGACGACATGAATTGTGTCATAATAATAAATATCGGTGGACGAAAACGATGTTTTACGTTCCTTCTGTGTATCTTAACGTCATTTTTAACAAAAATACCAATTTTCTAACGTCAAATACGTATTGCACGTGTATATATATTTATAGATGTATGTGTATTTGTGTTCACGTAGGTGTGTGTAAGTGTCTATGTATGTGAATATTGCTATTAATGTGCGTATAAGAGAATTCCCCAAAAAGCGAATTTAAAAAGGGATAATTCACATTTGGCTCGGAAAATCGATTTTCAAAAGCTACTATTATAACTTACGTATTTTGTACGTGATCCTCTTTTCCATTTGTTTCTAGAAATTATTACCGATATATAATATAAAATATTTCAAACTTTCGTTCCGTACGTGTAAGCTGTAAACATTATATTTTTTTCTTTCGTTATGGTTATTGTTACCTTTTACAAATAAATATAAATATCTTTATAATAAAATATCTTTTAACATTAGATTTTCATAAAAATAAATGTATTTATTGTATAATTTGAAATTTCTTTGATTTCATTATCAACATATTAACATTTAAAATGATATATTAGTGTATATACATTTGAAATAATTATGTATTTTTATTTTTTTTATAAATTAAGTTATACAGTTTAGATTTGTCAAGAAATTAAATTATGTTCTTTGTATTTTGGGTTTGGTCCTAGAACTTGACATATTTGTTCAAAGTCGTTCAAGCTCTAGGACTAAACCCACCAGTTATGAGGAACATAATTTAATTTCTTAAAAAATTTGATTTGTATAACATTATTTAAAAAAAAAAACATGATTAACACAAATATACATTTACTACTGGCCAAGTTGTCGATGTATTTTTAGATCAATAAAAAAAACTATATTATTGAAAGGAAAATTCGATTCCTAACCTAAAGAATTTTATATATGTATATAATTTAAAAATATTTATGATATCCGAAGATAAGAAATAAAAAGGTAAAACGAAATAAAAAAAAAAAATAGTTAACCATTAAATGTACATCATTCCATCTACAAATTCGTGCGCAGGCACACATATGCTGTAAAATTGTGTATTTTAGTTTCTTATAGTTGTTTCATTGGTAAAGGATACAGCATTTTATTGTCTGAAATCGAATTACCTAAGTATTTATTTTCAAACTCTCTCGTGCATCTCTATAATTGATCTTAAACAAGACAATTGTTCACGGTTCTTTAAACCCTCATTAGCTTTTTTTTTATCACCAACAAGGTTTTAAGTTTTCTTAGAAAAAGTTAAATGGTTTTACGTGTTACATCTATAGTTATAGCTCATCCGTGATACGTATGTGTAAGAAAACTTATACATTTGAAAACTTATATTATGTAACAGTAAACTAGTACTAAAATTGTACTCAAAGTTTCTAGCAACTCTAACCGTTCACGATTAAGTCCATCAAGTGTTATTACACTGTTATTTTTGATGGGAATAAGATCTATCATATTAACTCATGAAAACTCAGATATTAGAAGT